AGAAAAATCAGAAAATTAAAGTTTCTTGAAAATATTGTAAAAAAAAAAAAAAAAACAAAAAAAAAAAAAACAAAGACTAAAGGAAACTAGCTCTACAACAGTAATATACTACAACACTTTTTGTTTTCCATCCTTACAGAGTGTTAGCACTTCTAGCAAAAAAATCACCCTGCTGGACCGCCTTGAGGAAGACGTCAGATACCATGAACCATAAAAATGGATCAGAATCATCAATTTTGATTTCTCAGAAATTCTATTTAAGTTATAGTGCCAGTCAGAAGATATGTGGGTGTCTCCGTGTCTCTCATTTACTTCATAAAAGCAGATTAATCACCCAAATTTGACTTCCTACAATGAGAACTACACGAGGGAAGCAGATGACAAGCACCATGACACAGAAGAAGAGGAAGTATAAATGCAGTGAGATTCAACACGAGCAGCAAATCCAGAAAGAACTGAAACAGTAAACAAAATAGAATGCAATTTTCAATTCACTGTTTCATGGGAGAAGTCAGTGTTATAAACACACTCTCCCACATCTGCACACCTGAAGCGCCAATGAAGTTGCTTAACCTGCACCCCCACAGAAGTGCCACAAGAACATTCATTCAGCGAGCTCCTATCATTTAAAAATCCCAAATGCCTTAGCATTAATTCTATACTTGCCAAAAGGAGGAGAAAAACCTGTCCTGGACATGAGGATATATGTTCAAGCAGAGGGTGAATGTGCCCTGAAAACATAAGCACGAGGGAGCAAAAGCAGAGAGGCAAAAAAGATGATAAAAAAAGCTGATGAAGCAAAGCAAAAATCCTGCAAGTCTGTGAAGCAAAGTGACCCTGCAAGTCTGTGAAGCCTCCAAAACATCAGGCTCTTTGCTTTGATCCCAAGTTCTGCCAATAAATCAAAAAAGCTCAAGAACCCATTTGCAGATTTAGTGAGTGTTTCAGGGCCTATGAAAAAGCCAAATCAACTTGTGATGTTCTGCTTCTCGTATAATGATAAAAGCACAGCTACCCTACATGGCTCCAAGCACAGCATAAAATGGCAGCGCCTGCAGTCTCCAAGCAGCTCCTTAGCCAGACAACATGAAAGCCAGAAGAACACTCGTGCCAAAAATAGTCAATATGATCATACTGCATTACAGTCACTGTAGTGATAGTGGACAAATGTTATGTTGCATGAGGCTATACAATAATTGGGCAGTAATCAGTAAAAACATTAAGTCCCTGTTTTACCACTGCTTCATCACTAGCTATAAAACAACATCCTAATAAAGAGCATAAAACTAAAAAGAACTGAGTTTAACAAGGCATGTTATGGCAGTTTAGAAATAAAAGTCACTTTAGCAATACAGAACTGAACAATAATACTTAAAAGAATGAACAGAGAAGATTTAGCATTCCTGATTAAAAAACCCCAGCTATTCCGAGCACCTGGCCTAGTTACCACAGTGTGTATGTCAAACTCACAGAGCCTCAACACTCACCAAAAAAAACAGTATATATTGGATAACTGACTATAGCACTATCAGTCGCTAATTAGATAACCTTGCATGGACAATGTTAACCACTGAGAGGAAGAAAAAGAGAAAGAGAGAGAGGGGGAGAGAGAGAGAGAGAGAGAGAGAGAGAGAGAGAGAAAGCTTGGCCAATATTCAGACATGAATTTTGACTGTACAGGTAGGCATATTTATGGCAGAATCCAAGAATGATCAGACAATCCATTACAGAATGAAAGTGGTTCCCTCCAAGTTGTTTTTATCAGGCTCTGAATACATCACCTCATTTTTAGTAGGGTCCTGGTATCATGTGCAGTTAACGTATAATTATTACAGAACTGTGATTGCATCGTTAGCAGAAGTTTAATTATATCATTGACATTAGTGATGCCATAACATCAAGCTCAATAATAGTTCATAACAAAACCTACAATTAGCACAATTTTTCCTCCCTTTTACACCAACCAAAAGTGTTCAGCTTGGAGAAGCCTAATAGTCCATATAGAAGCGAGCTAGGGCTGAACCTGAAAGGACTGCTGGCTGGTAATTTAGTAATATGGTAATTAAAGTCTTTTCATGATGTAATTACACATCAACTACAAAAGGACAGCTGCTATACAACACTGCCAGGGTACGTGGCATGAAATGATTAGATTTGAGAAGCTTTGGTGGTTAAACTGAATACCACAGACATAAGTCTGAGGTATAGCTGGCACTGCATAGCACATTATTATTCAAGTCTCACACTTGGCGTTTCCTTAGTCTCATTGTGATAGTAACAGTTTGTTGCATGTACCTTGGTCCTGTGACAGCAGAAGCTGTTCAAAACCCACCTTTAAAAGCTTCTGCTGTTTTGAAGTTGCCTGGAATTAAAAAAGACTTAAGCTTCTTCTGGGTAGAGGCGGAACAAATGAGGTTTGCATGAACCCAAGATGTTTATTTCCCCACCCCTGCAGCACAAAACCTCCTCTCACAGACTGTTCTGTGGGAAATGTAGCTTGATTTATTTGTAGGCTTTTTCCAGTGGGGGAGTAGAGAGGGGAGAAGGAGGAAGACAACAGAGAAGAGGCACAAATGAGTAGGTGAACTCAAAGAAACTAAAGCCTGAATGAAGAACTGGGGGTTTTGGCACCTAGTTCCAACAGCAACAAGCCCAAGTACCCTGTTTGGGTGAAAAAACAAACTCTGCCCTTATTCTCAAGAGCAGACAAACATTCTTTAAAGTAGTTTCCTTAGTGTATTTCTCACCACCCTCATTTGTATCCGTACAAACGATGAAGTTGACCACCAAGGCATGAGACAGCAAAAAGGAACATATTTTTCCAGCTAACACAAATAAAACTTCTTGACTACATGACTGGGCTCTTAAAAATACAAGATTACAGTGTGCACTCTGGTAGTAGGTGGGCAAACTCTGAGCTGCTTTTCTAGTCCTCAAATGCCCTTTTAGTGATGAGGAGCAACTTAGATGTTTTGCAATAGAGGTATTTCTCCCTTTTTGAAACATGGGAAGTGGGAATTTGGTGGGAGAGAGGCCCAGATCAAGTGATCTTCTAGCTTAAAAGCTTTTTGTTTTCTTAAGCTATGAAAATCTAGAAGGGGGCTTATTTGAAAGTGAAATGGTTTTGGAATTCAGAGAATTCTCCTCAGCACAAGGAAGGTTTCCATGAGGTCCATTTGGAAAGTGCAAAGCCAAACTATTTTGGATCTGGAGGGATAAAGATACAAGATGCAAGGAATGAGTAGAAAAATTTGAGCCCTGGTTCAAACAAGACTCAGCCTTGCTGATGACTTCCCTTCTAATTCCTGCTATTCCTGTTTTTTTAAAGAGATGTTTTTGATGGACTTGATGAACATTACAAGACTACTGAAGACTTAGTGGTTTTAACTACAGTGGATGCTTGGGCTAATTCAAGATCATTGTCAACAAGTTTCTTCCAACTGGGTGGCAGAGGCTGCAATGGAGCTGAGGCTACTCTCAGGAAGCAGAGAAAGAATCCCGATGGAACTGCAAGCAACCAGTCATTTAAGAACAAAGATTTCAACTACTCAGAAGTCAGTCCCGCATGGCCAGTTTTACACAGAACACTTGTAAGAGATGATAAAGAAATTTAGCCAACCTAATGGAAGAGACTCAACTGTATTTCAAGCACAATAGCACAGGAAAACATGGTTATTTCTAATATAATGGCAAGAGAGATAAAATTTGGTTCTGATGACTAGACAGGTGGTCTACTCAAACATGTTTGCAGCTACCCTCTGTGAGGACTCATTTGATATTTGATGTGAAAAAGATTCAAATATGTCACTTGTCAAGAGGAACTGGGTGAGCAATTTGCAATATAAACACAAAATTCAGCATATTAAGGACAATCACCAACATGAAAAGAATAGAAACTTTATGCACAAAGGATTTATCTGACTCCCTACATAGTTTAAAGCAGAAAAGAGGCAATAAATATGTTAGGTTTAAACTACAAAACATTTTGCGGTTGACAGCTCTCTGTAAATACGTTGGGCACGCACAGTACAAACATGCACTGCACTGTGTGTGCACAAACCTGAAACAAACACATAACCACAGCAGTCTTCACCTAAAGACAACATGGTCTGGTACCTTTGCAGACTTCAGTGTCTCAGCTGCTAACTAAGAGAACACAACAGCAGTCTGTATCATGCAGGGAACTATGTGCCCTGGCCTGTTTATGCAGAACACTGCCAAAAGAAACATGTGAAGGTCTAAAGTCTTGCAAGAGCAGCCTCATTATCTCTCTCTGATGGTGGTATGGGCAGAGAGTGAGAGAGAGAGAAAGAATGCAAGTGAGATATTTCCAGTATGCTCCTAGGTTTAGCTAAATCAGAACACAGAGAAAAAGTTTCTCATCATTAGTCTTCAAGCATCCAACTTCTAAATATAACAACGGTACAACTCCTGAACTTCTTCAGTTCTGAGAAACGGACAAGTACACAAGCTAAAATGGAACACAGTAAAAATCCTAGCCTGTGATAGCCCCTCTCCAACCTCTCCTCCCTGTTGCAGGAGTAGCAGTTACTTGCTTACAGATTATTACTTTCAGTTATATAAAAATCTGAGAGTCAGGTGGTTTTCCAAGACAGGAGCCACAGGACTTCCTAATGAACCAGTTCAGCCTTACCAGCTGTTCCAGATGCAGTCACTTCGTCAGTGTTTAACACAGAATTCTACTACATACCCAGCATCTCTTCTGTTTCAATGGCTCTTTAGCATCCTTCCACCATCAAGTCATCCAGAAACTGGTATAGGGCCAGAAGTGTCATCAACCTCCCTGATTGCAACCACCACTCAACAAGATACTGGAAGCCTATGACTGCCATTTGCATTAATTTCAGTGAGAACCATTAAGCCTCCAGCCAATAAGTGGAACCCTCTTGTGATACTGTTTGTACCTAAGGAACTTGGTAACATCAGACCTGGGAAGTCTGGGGTGAAGGAATAGTTGAGGAGACACCACAATTACTCACCTGCTATCACCAGCATTTGCCACATAAAGCTTCCCCAATAAACACACCACCACAAGGGCTGTGCAGCCACCAGAAATATTATACACGGTCCTCTCTCGTTCTATTTGCAAATCCTAATGGAAAAAGAGAACAAGATTTGTAAAGACAGCATTGCAACTAATGTTTTAGAAAATGAAGATCATCCCCCCCTGCCAAAATAAAATAGAGTCTGTCTTAAGCAGCATGTCCCACTGGCTTTCTTTACTGTTGTAGCTATGGCCACATGGTCAGGGAGAAGAACTGAAAGTTGAGAAGTAGCTATTACTTATGATGCAAAGATGTTAGTGAAAAGTCAGGACAGGAGACTGTAAAACATCAGGCACCGAGGAAGAAATGGCAACTCTGAGGGATGCAAAGGAATCTGCTACAGAAAAAGCACAATGAAGGCAAAGATAAATGTAGCTTAACAACAGGTGTCTGGTGGTATAATTGGAGAGTGTTTTACTTAGACAACAAATAATTAATGAGACCTAGCTACGATATTAATAACTATCTTCTCTCCAAAATGGATGCTAGGATTGCAGAGCATATACCTGTACAAACAGCAGCAGGGGACACTCACGCCAACAAGGCTACCCTTCAGTAACACAGGGAACGGGTGGATGCCAAACTTCTTATGCGGGCAGAGGGGGGAAAGGTCAGTAGCACAGTATTTACTGAAAAATATTAGGCATTCACAGACTTTCCAGGATGAATCACAGTATTTAACCCTGTGTCATCTCACCGCTTTTATGAGGTCCTGAAAAGACTTAATTTTTATACATGTGCACAGGCCCAAATTTAAGGAGGTACGTACCTACTCAAATAGTTCTTCCCGTGTTTAGGTTCCAACTGATTCTGAGTGTAAAAAATATTATATACAAAAAAGTCCTCCTGCTTAATAGAAGTGGAAAACACAGGTCATGTCTGTCAGCAACAATCAATCAAGCCCAGGAATGAAAAAAATACAGAAAAATATAAATATACATGTATATGTATATGTATATACATGTGTGTGCATATATATATAGTCCCAGGAAAGCGTGGAGAGCATGAAAGAGAAGTAAATGAGCTATTTCCCAGTACTCCATACATTTTAAACAAAAATTAAAGTATACGCCAATGAATTCATTCTGTTGCCTCTTAGTTTAGTTTGGGTTAATAACATAGCATGTTACAAATTACCCTCCTGTCCTGTGTCCAGAATCAAATCCAATTGCAAACTGATGTTTCCCTATAATACTGGATTCAAACAGGAAGCATCATTTAACATTGCCATTGCAAGTACTGGCAGATCTTTTCAGCTAAACCCTGCCTACTTGTATGTGTTTTTTATTATGAGTATATTTGTTTGCCTCTGTGTGCATGCATACATACACACACGGAGCTATATTTCAGCCATTTTCATATTTGCACTGAGCAACAAACAGCTCAAATTGTCCATGCCTTGGGGTATGGAATTTAAAGCTTTATTTTAGAGCTAAATTTATCTGAGGAAAAGCACCACAACAAATGCAAACCATGACAGCTGCAATTTGATTGAAAGTCTGCAGAGTTGGAGGAGGCCAGGGACCACGCTTTCTTTCCTACAATTTGAGAAGAGGGAGGTGACCTGGGGCAGCAGCAGCAGGGATGCTCAGCGGCGCTCGGCCGCTGTCCCGAGCAGGCCGGGCAGAGGGTGTCTGTCACAAATAACGGGACTCATTGCTGGCCGGTGTGCGCAGGGACAGGCCCCCTCTGTGCCACACACAGAGCAGCGAGGCGGGCGGTGTGGCAGGGACAGCAAGAAACGCGCAGCGCTGCCCGACACGGCCATCCTCCGCCGCACACGGGAACTGCACCCGGCTGCCCGACAGACGACGAGTTTTGCTGCTGGCTCTTAAGCCGTGCTCCCATTGACTTGTGGTTTTCCTTTTTCTTCCCCCCCCCCGTCTCCCCTTTTTTAATTCGAGGGTGGGGGGGAAATGAGGACCAGGAGGAAAACACCTCCAAGCTAAAAATCAAATCTCACAGAACCTTTGGTCACAGACATGGGCCTGTTATATATGCCTATTTATCTAATCTTGCCATAGAGAAGCTGATTTTCCTCCCCATGGTTTCTATATATTTTTAAATTAAGCTGAAAAGAACAGTTCAAAGGAAGCAGACGTTTCTAACCATCAAAATAATTTAAACTTACAAACACTACAGTGGATTTTCCAGGCACTGCCAGGCATTTTAAAAAACCTTCATCTCCGCAGTTTGGAGTATCCTCTGAGACCTTCAAACAATGTACAATTCCTCACCTGGTTTCAGCTGTGTCATATGTATACTTTCTAAGTGATGGAATGCCTAAATTAAAATTTATTTCTTTCAAGAAGCAGAATTCAGAAGCATCTATTATAAGAGAGAAGATACATAATCCTTAGGGCCTCATTTTCAAAGTTTCCATGACTTAAACTAGATCCGTGTACTGGATTTTTTTGAATAATTGCCATTCATGGGCTCTTCCATCTAGTTGTTGTTCAGAACTTGAATTTACTACCATGACTTGCCAGAGTGTGTTCAGTGTTATGTTTAATTTGATATTACACACTTTGACATTTCCTTTTTTGAGGAGGGGAGCAAAGCAAGGGAAGGCTTTCCTACAGCTCAACAAGATTGGAGGGGAAAAATAAATGAAAATAAAATAAAGCCCACCAATGCCACTAACTCATTCTGATGTATAGGTATTTGCTTTTAATGAAATACTTTATAACAGTGCTGCTGGGAAAGTAGTACAGCATGAAGAGGGGCAGAAACCCCAAAGCATCTCTGAAGCATTTATGGGTATAAAGGGGCTCATTCCAGACAAAGTCTGAATGTATACAAAGCTTTTCTCATTTGTCATCTGGAGAAAGATTTCAGAGCAAACTTTTTTTTTTTTTTCCTTTTTTCCTCCTTTCTGTAGCATGCAGTTGATGCCCACATAGCTATCTGCATGCAGGGGAAGAACTGAGCACTGCTGGGCAGAAGCAAACAAGGCACCTTTCAGCCCAAAGGGCAGCACACGCCACTCATGTAGACACTGACAGAAAAACAAATGAAAAAGAGGATTTCTATGTCCTCTGTTCTAAAAGGTTATCGTTCCCTGCCAAGGAAGCAGCTAATTTAGTCTGTGCTCTGTCCCCCTTTTTAGGACCCGTGAGGTAGCTGCGGGAGGAGCAGGGTGCTCACAAGGGCTGCCTCACGCCTGGTCACCCCGGTCCCCCTTCCCTGGGTGAGGGAGCGCAGGGAGGATGGAGCAAAGCCTGCGGAGGACACCATGCAGTTCCACAGGGTACATTTCCAGAGCGAGTGGACAGAGGAGGGGTCGCTTTCTCCACCAGTGACAGAAGCAGCCCCAGGACAGACCATCCCCACCACCCTGACTGCTCAGATCTCCTGAGTGCCTGCCTCACCAAGGCTCAGACCTGGGCTTCCCAAAAGCAAGGGTTAAACATGCTAATTAACAATCTCTTCCGAACAAGGAGGAACGTTATGCCACGAAGCCAGACCATCCGCTCTGTCAGAGGCTCCCGGACCCCCGACAGCAGCTTGCTCGTGCCACCTCGTGGACAGCCGGTGGCTCTCGGGGTGCTGTGGCACCCCAGCTTTTCCCTCCACCTGTCTTGACCCACTCATGCTGGGCACACGAAGCGAAGCGCACCGGGACACTCGCCACCGGCAGCCTCAACCGGGCGGGCTTGTGTGCGCAGCGGGTGCAGCGGCGAGGGGAGACAGCACGAAAGCAGCAAGTGTGGAGGCACAAAAAGCGAATGCCAGCTATACCTGATGCTAAATTTTGGAAACTGAGGACCTTGAAAACAGAACTAGGTACGTTCAATTTGCAGTATCATCATTACCACAAGTTAGCATACTGCAACAACTAGAATAACTATTTCTCATCTATATCTGTCCTCAGAGTAGGGGCCTTTCCTCCAGGATCTCAATCTTGCTAGGACGGAAAGCAGCTTTACTCCCTACACACACAGTATCAGGTACCTGCTTTAAAAAAAAAAAAAGTTTCAGACAGCATAAAGACAAAATTAACTCCTTAATCTGCTTTAGCTCTGTCAAAAAGGCATCAAAATGCCTGCAACACTGTTTTAATCCTCCTAATTTCTACCGGCTATTTAATAAGAGGAAGCTTTTCAAAAGGAAAACCGTACAACCTATGTTGCTCTCTCAAGATTGTTCAAATTAAAATGACACCAACCTTGCAGAAACACCTGTCTAGATTTCATCTGAGTCAAAAAAATCTCAGCAAATAAGAAAATCATGATACAATGTATACAAACTTATACTTCAAATGAATCATACAGATCAGTTCTGTGCCATTTTTTCCCATTCAAAATTAAACAGGGTTCAATGTGGAAAAGGTGCTCTCTCCCCTTAATCTTTCTTTAATAGACACACACACTATGTCACACACCTCTATACAAGGTTAAATACAGTTTGATGCTTCTATCTGGTACAGAACAGCACTTGGAAACATCCCTCCTGGTTCCCCAGAACTGAATCCATAAATGCACGTTTAAACTCAAGAGATGAAAATTAGAGGATTTGACCTATGACACCTTCAGATTTTGAGCTTATTTCTTTCCTTTTACCTGGAGTAATGGTGATCACTGACAATTACTGACATGAAGCATTTTTTACTTTTTAAACAGGATAGTAAATTACCTGAGAACAGAACACAGAAATTTGCTAATCGCAGGTTTCAATACAATCAGAGAATACCATCTAGAAGTGCTTTTAAAAGGGGACATCTTAATTGTTAAAGTTAGACAATGACTTGGTCTGTGTCAGCTTTCCAGTGTTTTACTGCATGTAGCCGTCAGACAAGCAATGTCCAAAGGAAACCACACCAAATAAAGGAAAAAAAAATTCAAAAGCCTTTTGAAAGGGATGAATTGCATTTTATTTGAGACTTCAGGCAAAAACAGGGAGATCTTAACTAGAATTCAAAAGGCATTTGGGGAAAAATAGTAATGATATGCTAAATGCTCCCAGGAAAAGGGGACAAAACCATCATTAGATAAATCTGTCAGCGTGAAATGTTTAAAAAAAAAAAAGTATCTGTATTTACTCAACTTTTTTACCAGTTTAAAGGGCTCCTTTGCAGCAATGGGTGTTTCAGGAAATAACACCAAAAAGTCTGCCTACGTGTCCAGGAAACATGAGCTTTCACCGAGTGCCAGGTAAAATGATACACTCTGCTGGCAGAAAACCCTCATACATTATGCACATCTCAACTGCATTGACCTAACTCAACAACAGCCATGACATTCCAGTACAAAATAGGGCTGAATAAACAATGTGCTGTGGAAGAGGCCCAAAATCTGCACCCAAAGTATAAGGTAGCAGGAAGTTAGACAGAGGCAGAAGGAAGATCAATCATTACAAGCATAGATGAAACTCAGAAGTGTTGATCTTATAAACTGCTCCCTTACACAGACAAAAGAAAATACTCTTTTGCCTAAACCAATTATAAGCACAAGACTCACCCAGAAATTTAAAGTAGATATAATTATCTATTGCTTTCACTTAATCTGACTGTTTTGATAAGACTTCTTTTTAATGTAAAACTTAATGCTGAAATTATATTACATTGTGGTAGACACAGAGTCATTTATATAGCAAAGACAGACAATGAACTTCAGCCCTCTAATAAGGGCCAAAAGTGAGGATTAAGGTATCTGATCTGTAGCATATGAACAAAGACACTGGGAGAAAAATAAAACACTCTCTGGACTTCAGTTTAGAAAAAGGGAGGATAGATTACTATGACCTGTACATGGAATATCCAGACACCGTAACTGTAGTGAGTTATCCAGGATTTCTGTATTTGCATACTCTATCATGAAAGAAGCCCTCCCAAGCAGTCAGGTGCCTGGACATGAGCTAAGATGGTCTGCTCTGCAAACACCTACCGAACAGAGGGGTGAACTCAGAGTAAAGCAGGGCAATAACAGCCCTGCTCACTTAGATGTGTTCAGGAAGGCAATGATGGGTAATGCACTCAGACTGCTCATGTAAGAAAGGCAGAGCACTTGAAATAGCCCATCTTTAGCTCTCTTATTTTTGCTTTCCAGTCCCATGAAATTCCATTTCTCATCTCTCCTGCACTTGGAGCCAGTTTCAAAAGGAGAGAGTCATGTCATGCACTCAGAGCCTGGCACTCTTCTGGCCTGAAAATCACCCCAACTGAAGCATGAAATTGGTGTTCCTCTCTTAAGCTTGCTCTGAACCCCACCAGTGTGCAGTGGATGGGCAGTGTCGTCTTTTTCCTTCTTTCTCAACAAAGAAATGAACAAGCTAGTCCTCCCTTTCTGAAAACTGAATGCTAAACTGACAGAAGATTTTCATGTGTCCTCTTTCTTTTCAGCTAGAAAAAACTGAATCCACTAGCCACAATGCATAAATCTGCTGGCATGCCCCATGCTGAGCGATACCCAAGTCACAGCTGTGGATCCTGCTCCTGGACCTACCCACCTAAAAGTCCAAACCCAGCTGGTGGGTCTGTTTGCCTGCAATTCCTAGGGTAGAAGGAAGTGCAATCCAGCAAGATAACTGCTATTTGGAATTCAAAGTGAAGTACTACTTTGTTATAACAATAACTGTAGTCTCTAATTAGATGCATGTACTAAACAAAATTCATATATATCAGGAAAAACAAAGATCAAACACCCTTTTTTCAGACAACAAATAAAACCTCTGGGAAACACTTACTAATTTAAAAACCTTCTGCTGAAGTAAGAGGCTTTTCTAAATACAACAAAACCAAAATTAAAATAAAATAAAATAAAAAAAAAAAGAACAAAATCAGATCTCCCAAGACCTAATCCGCATGTACTCACTGTGCCAGGCCAAGACTCTGCTCTGCCTGACAAGAATTATTTTTAATAATGAGGAGAAGTGAAGGGGGGAAGGTGTGGAGCAGCTAAATCAATACAGAGGAGAAAAAAACAGCCTTCTATGGGGAAACTGATGGATATTCAGTTTCCATAGGGTCATGATTTCCTACCAGTTGTTCACACTGTACACAAGAGTCAAGTGGGTGGTAGTAAAGTACCTCATGCCCCACTCACCCACACCCAACCTGTCAGTCAAGAGCTGCACACAGACTCTCTACAGTCACTACTGTGTTTTATAAGCTACGCCAATACTAACGTGAACTACAGGTCACTGGATCAAGGATGGTGCCCCTCATCCATGTCCCTGATGTGACCTTTTATGACCTGTTTATGTAGTTGTGGGCAACACGAACAAGGGTCTGTGGTGCAAGGAACGCTGAGAGCCTTTGCTGCTGCTCTGGTAGGGCAACGAGGCTTTGTAAAGTGCATGACCACATACACAGCCTTACGGTAACAGCCAATGCTGAAATCTGCTACTGTGAGGCAATACTAATTTTTATCTTTAAAAAAACAAACAGGTGGGTGTGGGGGTGTGTGTGTGTGTGGAGAAAAAAATTAAAAGAGAACCAAGATTCTAAGAGTCAGGTAATCCACAAACATGGCTGTGTTGCTGCCTGGGACTTAAGGTGCAGTTCCTACCCCACAGGGATGTATCATGTAAGCTACTAAGGCTCTTAAATAATTCTGTCCACACTTAGATAGTGTTTAAGCAGGGGAAGAAAAAAAAGAGTGCAAAGAAAATAATCCCTGAACGTTCATCTTCTCCAGGCCATGTGACTAATCAGTGTATACAACAAGGACTTCAGAGCCCTGAGATATACGTACCATTTCCTTGAACGCACTTTCTATGGCCCCAATAACCAGGCACTCGTGTGGGATCTTCTTCTCAGTGAAGAAGCGTGTTGGAGGGGTGCTGGGCGAGCCCGGGGCCCCCACACCACCACGCAGGGAGGCCGCCCGCGTCAGCGTCCTGCTGTTGGTGGCCGGGTTGTCGGGCTCCTCTCCCAGGCAGGTGGGTGGGAGGGCGGCCGTGTTCCTCAGGATGTCCACTATCTCCTGCAGCTGCTCCAGGATGTGGTGCTGCAGCAGTTTGGAAGCCACCACAGCTGCCCCCGACCCAGCGTGTCCATCGAACAGGGACCAGTAGTACAGGTTGATTCCATCTGTGTCCTGGAGAAGCAAGAGGTGAAAAAAGGGAAGGAAAAGAAATGGTCACCGTTACACAGCCACAAGTGAGGTGACTGGTGGCACAGGGGCAGCAGGTAAAACACAGGTAGCTTTCCCAGAGGTAACCTTCCTTCTGAAACGGAGAAATACCCACTGTGTTAGTACAGCTCTGGCAGGAAGGAGATGCTTATTTTTGCCACACACCCCCACCATTTTTTTTTCCTTTTTCTTTTCCTTAATCTCCTCAAAAAAAAAAAAAGGCTGAACTTGCAATCTTTCTTACCTTACAGCCGTCACAGGATGCACTGACCAAGCATAGCTACCACTGTGAGATTAAATAAATTTCTTAATGACTGTGTAGATCAGAAAAGCATTCCAAAAAAAAAAAAAAAAAAAAAAAAAAAAAAAATCACATCATTGATGAATGATGGACCTACCGCCATGGAAACCAAAATTCTACACAAGACAGCACCTGATACTTCTGTGATAGACCTTTTTTGTCCCCACTAGGCATGAGATGAAGGATCTCCATTTGACATCTAATAATAAGATGCGATCCCCACTTCTGGTGATAAGGTCCATCCGTACTGGCAGATGAGACAGCTCAGGCTTTCCCTGCCTGTGCCAGCCCAGGAGCCAGCACAGCAGTCCTCGAGGATGGTAGACAAGTGGGATCAGCTGCACTCCACTTGTGCTAGCCTACACATTCACCACCTGGTTCTTCCCAGTCCTCTGAAAAGTTTCCTGTGCAGCACTGGAGTTACATACCCTTTGATCAGAAGACCTATATGCAAGTGTTCTGGTATAGCACTCTCCATAATGGCATGCTTTTAGACCTTATTTCTTAGCACAACTCCTAGCACAACTGCTCCCATACAGGCAGAATATCCAGAAAAGGTAAATTTTGTAGACCTCGTTACTAACATCAAGGTATATATGGTGAATTTATATATTTGTTCATCAGTTATTGATCAAAGATGACATTTTCAAATATCTCTCCCTTTCTGCTCCACAGCGTCTCCTCTGACAGGTGTAAGTCAGCTCCACTGCTGCTCTGATTTGAGCAGAAACAATGTTTTCGTGGTGGGGTGCCCTATCACTCAGAGAGGGCCCATTAACCGAGGGCTGGAGGCCAACTAAGTACTGGGCAGCACAAGCTCCAATCTGCCTGAAAAATACCAAGGAGCCATATCCTAGATAACGTCAATTTTTTTTTTTTTTTTTTTTTTTGAGAAATTCACCTAGAAATCTTCAGGGAAGCATTTAAGGCATAACAATACCTGTCTTTGCACGATAGCATATTTGCCAGCAGCATGTGGAAAGAATCTTTCCAATCTCTCCTTTTCCCTCCATTTCTTCTTAATCCTGCACCTTCTCCCAGCTAGGCTGAAACAACTGTTTGTGGGGCTGCCTTGTGAGTCAGATGTGGGCGGACTAATGCAGATTTAGAAATAAATCACTTTGCAAGGGGCAGGCATCAGGCAATACTGTTGCAAAACACCTCATACTAAGAAAGCATAGCCTAGATCTCACTGCAGTCAAAGAACTTAAAAATTATATCTGCATGTCACGCTGACTGTGGTCTAATTTAGGGTGACAGACATGATTTGTTTCATTCACCCAAACACTGTTCCCTTAAACAACAGATCAGCATATAGTCTAAGCACCACCTGTATGCCAGCACCTCATGCCTAAAGCACTGCTTATTTCAGATTTATGGACAGGGCTGTGAGAACTGCAGCTCCTTTTACCTTCTGCTGTTCCAGCTGCTCCACAGAGGTGCCAACCACTGGCTGTAGGACACGGCAGACAGGTTGGAGTAAGAACACCATGAACTGTCATTTGTAGATCCAAAAGACATCATTCATTGTTGCCACGAGCTACAAAATCCAAAACCTAATGCAAAATCTCTCTTTTAGCAATATGTATATAGACCATCAGTACAAGTTCATGATGTTCAAAGGGCTGAATTCATTGCTAAACGAGTATTATTACTTATAACGTACTTTGACATACACATTTAAAAGCCTTTATTATAAAAGTTACATAAAAGACTATTTTTTTATTAAGCTTATAGCATTGTTGCTGTAGTAAAATTCAAACATATTCTTAACCAGTGCATTAACAATAGCCATCTACATAGTGGAAAGTTCCTCCAAGAGAAGGAATTCAGTAGTCTATTGTGCACTCCTCATTTCATTACCAAAATGCTGTGAAAAGGGAGTACTGTCCTATAGTACTGGATTACCTACAACAGTAAGGATCATAGAGGATGCATCCTATAACGGTGGAAAACCCAACAAATGTACGCATTTACGAATGTGGCTCCTTAGCCAGACCCACCCACTTACCCAGTCTGGTAAATTCACCAAAAAACCTGTTGTGAAACTTCACCCCTGAAGGCATGACTGGCAGTTGTGCTAGCTTGCTCTGGGCTCAGAATCCCTCCAAGTTCGCACAACAGTTGGCTGTAAAATTCTGCTTAAACCATTTTTAACGGATGACAGGATTACTGACTAAAAAACTTGTTTATAAAAATAGACTGCTATTCATGCAAAACGTATTTTGCTAACAGAAACAAGTAACCCAAAGTGAAAGTATTTCAGCTGAAAACTGAAACCATTTCTTCAAAATGGCAACACTGTGCCTCTTGGGAGTGGTAAATCAAACTATTTCTGCTCCCATTCTTCTCTTAGGGTTTGGCTCCTTGGCCAAAATCCACCTTATGATGTACCATGGATAATGCTTCCACAGCTTATGTCCTCATGTCATTCGAAAGGTGCTACTCCATTGGAAACATCCTGGCTTTGGGGGAAAAAACATGAAGGCATTACACCTCTGAAATGGAAATATTTTATCTTCCACCCAGAGGAAGAAGATATTTTGTCGTGGCACTCCCCCTGCCCTCAAACCATAACAGAAACTTACAATTAGGAACAAGTTTAGCTCCCCTATCCCCCCCCACACACACTAATTTAATACAGAGCAAAAGTCTGTATTAGAGCTTTCCAGAAGATAAAGGAGAGCAGTTGTAAACATAATTCACTTTCATTATCATGAGCAAACACTGGGTATGTCCTACACTGAACAAGCCTTGTGTGAACTTGGCAGTCAAATAAGGTGCCATCAAGAGACCAGGAAGCTTTAAAACAGACCACAACAATTGCCCATGGCAAAAAGTGAAATTGAAATGTTACTACTTACTTCCTCTAAGCCAATGGGCAGCACAAATTAGGACAGAGCTCACACGGGCCTGTGCTATACTCTCAGGCTGCCACTAACATGAACACAGCATGGACAACTCAGCTATAGTGGTTCTTCTGGAGTTCACTATCTTAAAAAAAACCCAAATACCTGCACTTTCGGAGTATATTCACCTCATTCCAAATTAGACTTATTTCTCCCTATCAACTGCAGAAGTACCCTAGAAAACCGAGAGGTCTGTATTGTAAGCATAAACAGTCAAGGGAGATAACTACCACAATGCTGCTCTTACACACAAGTTCTTCTGTGAGATGCTCTAGTGTTTTAACTTCAGTTGGGATCTGCAGGCATTACTGTAACCCAAATATCAGTCTCCAAAAATGACTATGTATTCCTACAAAGCTTCATTTTCTTTTGAACTAATGAAGAGAATATAACCACAAATAATCTATTAGCTGTCTAAAACGAGAAGAGGAAACAAATTAATTTCCCCCACCCTGAGAATAAGAACGGCTCCTCTGTTTCAAAGAAATGAATTATCCAAAACCATACTAATTTGATGAGAATTAAATATATGTTGCAAATAAAGCAGTGACTCGAGAGAATGAACAAGGGCTGGCAGTCAGGGCACACAGGTGAGACAAAGCACAGAAAGGTCCTTCCTTTTCCTCTCACAGCTGAGATCACCTCCATAGTCACCAAGCGATTACCTATTTTGGTATGTGTATGCATGGCTGTTCTCTCTCTTTCACATTTGGGAGTTGAACTTCTTCCCAAAAGTATTAACATTCTGCAAACTCTCAGAGAACAAGACATCAATTTCTACTAGCTGTGGTGGTATTCTGTCCAAAGCAGTCTTTCAAACATCAATCTCCATTTGTTCTTTTAACTGGCCAGAGCCTTCAAGTGGGAGTATGATCAGCCACCACAGTGATTTATTTTAGATTTTCTTTCAAAAGATTCATATTTAACAACATTCTGAGTAGCTACCAGATACACGAAGAGCAAGGAGATCCTTCACTGTACTGACCTTACAATTCATTTCCAGAGTGTACTAGGAAATTTAATAAGCTTCAGGCTCCTCAACTGCTGACCGAGCTTTCAGGAAGGTTCAGCAGTCTCCTGGGTTTTGTAATTGTAAAATATAATTAAGACATGCAAAGTTCTGGGTCAAGCAATGGATGAGAAATCATGAAAGATAATGCATACATATACACATAATTAGAGTTCAGTTATAGGAAAAAAAAAAATGGGCAGCCTTAGCGATATACAGCAATTAATTTGGGACAGTTTTTTTAGGTAAGCTAGACAGTGATCCTACACTGTAAACCTTCAGAACATTTTCTATAAAGCTAATTCCAAACAGGCAAATAAATTATGTAGCCACTAAAAAGTTATTCTGAAATCCACAACCCACCCCAACTATTAATATTTCCAAACATGAACTACACGCACAAAATGCATTTGAGCGCATCTTCAGTTCTCCTAAAATCTGAAATGGGTGGGAAATTGACACCCCATCCTCAGAAAAAAGCCTCCTCCTGTTACCAATGAGATGTTCAGTCACCTGTGGCAGGCAACCAGCCTTATGTCACACAAAACAAATATTCCGTCCCATCTTTGTGGCAAAGAAAACTGCAGAATTAATAATTATGTATCCTCATATTACAATGACAATTAATAATGCATCACATTAAGTCTTGCAACCTGACTGTCACTATGACAATATCCTGGCACAGGATTCCCATTTCACTCACTGATGGTCTTCAGTATTCATCATCAAGGTACCCATATTAAAGGCAATTAAAAATAGTACCAGTGAAAAAGCTGCACAATTTAAAGTGAACGTTCCCGAACAGGGACAGAGGGCAAATATGACTAATCAAGTAGCAGTGGACTGGGGTAGGGGGAGGAGCATGAATTAATTTAGAGCTGAATTTGCAGTCTTTCCTTTTACTGTTCTGCCTGGTTTATTACTTGCTCTTTCAAGAAGAAAACAATATTTATGTTATTTAACATGTTTCTTTGATTTTTTTTGTGCGTTGGGGATAAACAAATGTTCACTTCTCCATCTCCTCATTTCTGGCCCACCACCTCCTTCTTCCCACTCCTAGAAGCTCTGTAGAGTCCACCTGCCAAGTCAAGGCCATGGCAGCGGCACCCAACCCATGCAGATGACCCATGGATCTCCGACTTCCCTACGCCAAAGTGCAGGGCTGCAGTGATAGAGTTAGTGTTAAACAACAATAATCACACAACTTCAGATGCAGCTGATATTTAAGTTTCACAAACCTCTCAGAAAGCAGGGTAAAACAAAGATGGCATGTGGCCTTCTCAAAGATTCTGTGGGAAAAAAGAAAAATCTGAGGATGATGAAATAGACAAGAGACAGTTTAAGTTCCAGTTCCTATTTCCCTTGTGCTCCACACTTAAAAAACTAAACAAGAACAGAAGAAATCTTTCTTTTAATTGGACAAATACTCAATAGACAGCTTCTCTCATCCTTCCTTCAATATTTTTACAAGTTGCTTCACCACTCGGAGACAATTTCAGATTGTGTGTTAGAGTGGCATTTCCCTATGAGGCATTTACAATATTCAGCCTCTGGCTTTCTTACTAAATACTTGCCAGAATGATATACCATTCACTGGAGTGTCTCAAACCTGTATATATACATCCTATTGATACAGAGTAAGTTGAACCGTCATCACATTTAACACCAAACTCATACACTCCTTAAAAAAAATACTTGCTAACAATGCTATGTGAGGGCAAAACACAATATTATACTTCACAGTATAAAAATATGAAAACATAAAATTATGACACATGATAGAAATATGTACTTTTTTTTTTTTTTCTTTTCAGATATATTCAACCAGCAAAAAATGTATCAAGGAAAATATCCTACTAATTGCTAGTGTAAGACTGCCCTCTAGTAGAAAACTTTCTCCAGAAATAGGCTGCATGTTTTGGGAAAATATATTACAAATTTAAATTCACAAGCTGTGGTCTCATAACATGGTAGAATAGGTTTTACACAGATAAATAACGAGTGCTATAGCATGCATTCAAATGTTATGTAGAAAACAAAAGTAAATCTGTACTTAAAAAGAGAACATATAAAGAACACAATAACAAGTAGCATGAAAACAGTATACTATATTATATGGATCAGCTGGCTCTTCACTTCAGACATTATGCTCATTTCTGGTCAAAATATGTCAGAAACAGAAGAAAGAACAGAAGATTTGTAATAAAAATGTTTCTCTCAAGAAGCTTGAAAGGGAGTGGCTGTTTCTTCCAAAATTGAGATGAAAACTACATAATCAAAGAAGGAAATACACTAGTGAAGAGAGGAAGAGAAGTCAGAGAAGTCCATGACATACTTCACATAACACAGGGTAGCTGGATGTTTAGTGAGGGTGACAATCATTAAAGTGGATAAAAAGAACAGCTTTCAAAATTCTGCAGTTTATAGACCCTACCATTACAATACCATAACAGTATGATGACCACAATGACAGATAACATCAAGGACAGTGAAGACACTTGTCCAATAAGGAAACAGTTTTATATCCCTGTATTTTTAATGCAATCTAAACATATTAACTATGTAATGTTTGGGAAAAAAGGTCCTTCTGAGGAAGATGATTAATCATGCAATATAATATTACAACATAGCCTGCCTTTTGCTCTTGAGAATGATTTGATACTACACAAAAGCTGGAAGTTAACTGGACTTTGTGAAACAATGCAACAAAGCTTTTACGTCCCATGCATGCCTCTAAAATATGACAATACAGGCAAACTCTGTATAGCTACATTCACCCACATCTTAGATGCAGAGGCCCCTGACCAGGTATCTCACATGGTAGGCCTGGAAATTAAAATAAATAAACCAAAGCTAGTACCTCTGCACAGCACCAAGATGTGTCAACCCAGGCTGGTGCCTGCACAGGGGTCTTTGCTGCACGCTGTGTGCACGATACAGCAATGCCCTTTGCATCAAGCAAACCCATCACTAGAACCAGGCACACAGCGGCTTATCTTGATGTGTTTTATACATATGACAAGTACTGTGGCCAGATGTTTGCTTCACTAATCATAATTAATGCATACAAGAATTAACTATACTCACAGACCAAACATCTGCATGAGCCAACAGCAGACAGTTGCATGAACTTTCTAGGAAAGACTTTTTAAAACACAGACTATTAAAAGAAATTATGTTTTGCCTTGCATGCCTGTACAAAGAACTCATAGTACCAGCAAGTACAGGGGACAATTCTTTACCCAGGAGTGTCCAAATAGGTATTTGAAAAAAAAAAAAATGATGACTGTCAGAATACAATGCAGAATATCAGCATACAGGAACTGAGTGAGGTGACTCAAAGAAAGATTCTAAAGAAGAAAGAACAGGGATATTTGCAAACCTGGAAAATCTGTCAGTTTGAAAACACTGCAGCAATAATGAAGTATGAAACATAACAGGAGAAGCAATAAGTGGGCAAGCACACAATGCAAGAGGAATGCTTGTTGCTCAGGTCCCTGATGACCCCTGAAGCCATCAGGTGTACCAAGCTATGGGGTTTGAGGAGAGAGGCAGAAGCAAACTACTAATCACAACCTAGTTTAAAACAAAACAAAACAAAAAACAACAAAAAAAACCAAAACAAACAAAACCCAAAACAAACAAACAAAAACAACCAAACAAACAAATAAAAAACAAAAAAACCCCAAACAAACAGAAAAGGATACGAATAGTCCACTGAAAGACTAATTACCATTTAGGGAGAACTTCTGTTCTCCCAGCAGCAGAAGTATTGCACATCCACATTGTCTAACTCCAACATTCAGATAGGGAATTTAGTGTTACATGTCTAAATGTCTGAACTGAACACACACTATCAATCATTGCTGGAGCCAGAGCTCAGGCTTAAAGAGCAGATGAAGTAATTAGCCAGTCAGGAGACAGGACAGATGAAGAATAGCAGATGTTTGCCAATAGACAAGTTCATGATGTACCTCACTCTACACAAAGAGAAGAGCCATAGTCTGCAAAAAATCAATTAATTCAGTGTGCAGGGTGACCTTACCCTACCTGCATAAACCAACCTTGCTACGTGCAATACTGCTTCAGTGAAAAGAACCCAAATGACTATCTGACCCTTAATTAAATTGTATGACTGTATAAAAGGTGATACTACTATGCTTGCAGTGACCGTCACTGGACAAGTCAACCACAGCCATTAAATTCACAGTATTCTGCAATAGTAAATTTATCAGGATTATCTTTTCAGAAATGAAACAAAATGGAAAAATCCAAGGAGTATTCCCATCCCCATCTTTAAAATGTCTTAGATACAAGGAGCATTTTTCAATGCAGGAAATAAAAAAAATCAAGTAGTAGATCAAAGAAAAATATAGTTAAGTGTTCTGTATTTAGGCAGAGATAATAAGAGGTAGCTGAAAATATATGAAACATTCAGTAAACATCTTTCAGTGTCATATTGCCACATCCTTTTAATTTATTTTGTACTTCTCCACTGACAAGATACAGAAGTCTGCTTACCGAATTGTCTTTCAGCTGGAGACCTTCTCCATTGGGTAGCGACGACCTCCGTTTTGTTGAAGAGTTCTTGTTGGGTGTAGAATTAGAGCCCCCAGCTTTCTTCCTGACAAAAAGAACTTCACAGCTAGCTTGATCTTCATTGTGTGTGCTCTTCCCTGCATTTATTACCCTAAGAAAAAACAAAACAAAAAAGAAAACAAGGGACATGTCCAAGTTAGTAAAGCACAGAAGCCTCCATCTGTATCTTGTATGTGATTCAAGATGAACAGAACCATAGCCCAGAAGTATTGCAAATACCAACTGAATGAAAGTACCTGACTTCCTTATACATGTACATATGCATACGCACACACATATGCACACTTGTTTGTTCCCATACATCTACATACGGCATAATAAGCATTTCTCACAGAACTATGTGAATAAGAACCAATGGTATCACGAGCATATTTTACCCTTAGGCATACCAGGCTTTTCTTTAAAAGAACTACTTGATGGTCAAGGCTGATAACACTTATGCCTCCTAGCAGAAACATAAGATCCCCAGTTGCTTTTCTACCTGCCAGCTTCTCTGCTACGAATCTGTTGGCTAAGGGTGTGCATTCTGTCAAGTTCCAAGTTACACAAACAAAATACTTCCTATAAATCCGAAAAGCTGTTACTGCTAAAGGCACAGAAAAATATGCAACTGCTATTTTTCTGTTTAAAGGGCATATATTAGAAATGCTGTGACAGAAATACAAAAGAAAGACTTTGCCTAATACTCCAACATGCAAGTTAAGCTTGCTTGTACCACAGCAACACAGAGGTGCATACTAAATACACCCCTCTAGCACTCAGAGCAACATAAACTCCCTTTGCCACCCCCCAAAAAAATCAAACCCTCACACCTTTGTCCCACCTGCAGCATAGACAGCAGAAAATTTATACCAAGAGCTGCGGGCATGCAGAAACCAGCACTAAGAGCCCAGTACAAGCTTCTGATAGTGAAGAGTATCCTGAGACTTGTACCCCAACTGCTCATCTTCCTTCCATCAGTGATGAAGCTGAAATAACAGCTATTCCAACACCAGTATTTAAATACCCTAATCAGAAGTTTGCATTATCCAAGATACTGTGGTTGGTATCATCCATCTCAGAACAGACAAGTTCAAATAAGTTTTTCACATTCTACATGGTAACCTCGTCACAAACTGACTAATTTTGCATCAGTTGACACCGTGTTCAGCAAGATACAAGCTCTGACAGCCCTGGGCTCGCACAGGGAAAAATCTGTGCAAGCTGGGACCGTGTCTTCTTCCAACAAAGCAAAGACATTGCCACTTCGATGCAAGCATGTCTTCTTCCACAAACACTACCTAACCACTCCTCTGTACTACAAGGTTTGAGTCACCTAACAAGCTGACCACTAGTCAGAGTCAGCGTTTCCACTATTAGACAAACAGAGTTTCACATCAGGCACACAATGTCTTTAAAAACAACTGTTGCCTCCCCATAAAGTAAAACAGCTTGAAGGCACATCATAATCCTGATGGCAAGTTCAAGACATACCTGACTTCTTGATCTCTAATGTTTTCATTGCAGTAAAATTTTATGTAACAGGAAAACACTTGCTAAAGGTTGTTGAAATGAAAAGAAAACAAAACCCGAAGGAAGGCTTGCAGGGGACTCTGCCCCAGCTTGCCTGCTCTTGCTGAACTGTCAATTCTGTGTCAACCTTGCTTAAAGGTAATATATTCTTTTGTTTTTCTACGAGCAACATGATACTGTGACATACAAATGAGTATTCCTGCCACTGATTAGGAAAAACAGTCTTCTGAGAAAATGTGCATCCACTACAATTAACTGCTTTCAGAAACCACAAGTTTCCTTCCAGTGACAAATGTCACACACTGCATGCAGTCTGACATCTGTATGCACAATACCACCAGTTGTTTGTAAGTATTTCTTGTAAATAAACACCAACTGTGGATAAAATCATTTTGTGAAACACAGAGAGAGCAGAGATGAAGGGGCATCTATTTGCAAGGAACCTGTGAGCAGTTTAACTACTCACCTCCTGTAGTACCTAACCTTTGAGCAACTGGAGATCAAAAAATGAGATACAATAAGCTTCTAGTCTGAAAATTCGATATTTTCTTGACATGATGGGAAATATGGAAGCATGTATTCACAAACAGGGTGGGGGAAGCACAAATACTAAATCATTTAAATCAGTTGACCAACAAATCTTTAGTTTTTATGTTACAAGCATGATTAAAATATTGCAGCAGCACAGGAAGTGTAGTTTTATCATATGAAGAGCTAATCAGTATTCAATTTAGCTGATCAGTCTCCTCACCGATGCTGCTAGCTGTTTGCAACCCCACTTAAAAAAAAAAAGCAGAAGACAAATAGAGGCAAAAGCAACTAACTCCTTACAAAAATCACTGCCTTCCTTACCACTTACCATTCCTTATGACAATCACTCAAGTATTGGAGCTGCTCTGGTTTCTAAGTTTAGTGACGGACTCTAGGACTTGAATGGTAGGAGATGTTCTGATGCCTAACAGCGTGTTAAGTTATGCACAATACGGTATCATTTTATAAAGCTCTTGCCAAGAAAATCTGTGAAGGCACTGAATACATTAGAAAGGCTACAAGAACAAAATGACCTAACAGACTATCTTGGCAGTCAGCTACCATCAAATGCCTGGAAGTTGAACCTGTGTACCAAACACCTTGCTAGAAGAGGATATGGTCAAAAGGAATGTGGCAAGACCGAATACTGAAAAGATGTGAAGGTTGGGATGCCAGTATACGTTCCCTCCAAAATTTCACTTTATCACCCAAAAAATCCGTTTTTTCACTACCCAGGAGATGATTAAGTTTATTTTGGAAATCCTTCTGAAGAGTTGAACTAATCATAATGTCAGGACAGTACTTACAGGTGCTACCAGGTAATGCAGATTCTAGATGCCAAAAGCTACCTGGCACCTGACATTGGCACTCTTTTACTCTCACATCCCACACCACAAGTAAACTTCGGAAAAGGACTGCAGTAAAGCCCTGTGATTTTTAATCTCAAAGCTTGAGCTATGTGTTGGTGGCCTGATGCCTAGCATTGAAGCTGATAACACCTTCTACTCAGCTTCAAACATCTCTCTGTTTGCTGCCTTTTGAAATCCTTCTCCCTCTGCAGCTTCTTAAATCCCACCTCGAGGCAATTCTTTCAACCAGCTTTCCAATGCTGATTTTACTGCTGTCTTTCCTCCTTGCTCTCCCAGACTGTAACTTACCAGGACAAAAAACACATCTAAGTGGCTTATACAAATAACAAAGCAGAACTAACAAGATATTCACATCTCCAAAAGGTAACTCTTAATTAGATCTCTGAAAATTTTTATGGAAAATCTACCATCCCCCTCCTTCCACTGAGGAAGTGCATCAGCTTCCTACAATTTTCTTTTCCCCTTCATATCTCTTTTTCTGTCTGCCTTGAAAAATATGTCATCCTCCAGTAAGGCGAACAGAGATGAAGCACTACCTTCTCACACATAATTAAAAAAACCCTGCCCCACTTCCTCCAATCCCCACTTCCATTTTATCATGGATGCAAACAATAGTAATAAAATGCAGAGAAAAAGGAATTTAAAAAAAAGATTGAGGCCTACATAATTCTCTAGCTTTTACTCAGACATAGGGATTTCAAGGGAATTCTTGCTTTTGTCTTCTCTCCTCATGATTCCCCAAGGAACTGTTTGATTAGACCTATTCATGATCAGCTCCTTTCCATCACTTCTTTCCTCTCCCCTATTACTCATTTACCTCCTATTCAAACTTTTACAAAGTTCAAGCCAAATAACATATCTAATTTGACCAGAAGCTCCTCTTTTTACATAATTAGCTGCCTCTACCATGTCAAACACATTGCTCAGCAATGAATAAATAATCCTAAGGTTTAGCTCACAGTAGAGTAGTGCTAGTAAAAATACATCCTACTTTGCAAACAGGAGCTTCCTGAAGCCTGCACAGTGAGGTGGTGGAATTTGGTCCCACTCGAAGAAGTACTTGCATCAACCTTGATGGACGCTTCAGTACTTTGCGAGACTCATCTCAAGCCTGTCTCAGCTAGAAGTAAAACCTTCAGATAGGAGCCAGCTAGTTTGTTTGGCTCATAATTAGCATTCTGCTGGTATCTCATGAGACCCTAAACCCCATCCGACTGAATGGAAATGTAGGTCATGCTGTGCTTCTATTCTTCATTCAACAAGCAGAACTCAAATTCCTGTGCCAAGGTCACTGATTACAAAATCTTGAGTTTATCTTAAAATAATCGAAACAGGCCAGTTGAACAAATCCAAAACAGGTTTTGATAATAGTTTCCGGAGCAAAAGAAAGAAAGAAAAAAAAAAAGCCAAAAAACAGCTCTTTCGAAGCATATTTATTCAGCCCTCTATTTTTCACATCAATATCAGTACATACACTCTTTGGTTGTTTTACTCCTCCCTATACCACTCTTTTTGACATTACATTAAATTGTGTTTGCTTCAGCAACCATTCTAAGCTGTGCTGTAGGAGGAAAATTTTAACCAGGTCTAGATCACCAATTCAGAGGGAGAAGGGGAAATCAAAGTAGTTGTCCAAGTATTTGTATTTTTTAACTCACAAGTCTAGCAAAATTCTGTATGTAACATACCAATATAAAAATAATGGGTAAAGGCAAAGAGCTCAGCAGAAATTCTGAACAATGCATGACAACAGCAGTGTGCACAAAAAATCCTTTTTGAAATATAAGGGCTAGGAAAGCTACCACAGCTTGAGGACATTGCAGCAGAAGCGTGGGAACTGGCTGCACATACACTCTAGATCTGCCCAACCTAAGAAATAAAACCTGTAAGCAGGGAGCCTGACCCACCCCCTCAGTTTAGTTAAGCTGTGCGGTAACTGACACCCCAAATCCTCTCTGCTTCTCCCCCAGCAAGGCAAAGTTCCTCTCTGCAGTAGCAGAGAGCACTCCCAGTTCCACCTCCTCTGTTAAGATCTGTTGCAAGGGTCAAGACATCCTACACAAGCACCTCCAGAGCAAAGGTCTGAGCAGCCCGTGCTGCTTAAGCCAAGTAGCTTAAGGCTGAGGCTGTGCGTATTTTCCAACCCCACAGGGTCTAACACTGGAACATCAAAATACCT